TAAAAATATAAAATTACTTGTTCAAAGTATGCTAAAATGGTTGGGTGTGTATTTGGTCCTCTCACATTGGCATCTCTTCTTTTTCCCTCAATTTGTTCACTTTTCTATTCAGTGTTTGTCTTATACTCTGCTGCTGAGTTGATAAATCAAAATTCATGAGCTACTCCGCGGAAATACAACACCCTAATAAGTAGTATTATATTTCCTATTTGATTAATTATGGGGAAAATGAGCACATACATGGATATAACCTTCGTTAGAAAAATGGGGCAAATATACTTTTGACACTATTTGGATTAAATAAAAAAATCAAACCAAATTTTTATTTAGATTGGTTTTTTATTAGGTTTTGAATTAATAATTTACTTTGTATGGTTTTTGGTTTGGTTTCGGATTTAGAAAACTAAAATAAAGAAAATAAATTATACACTTTTGTCTCTTTTTATTATGGTCTTTCATTGTAATTAAGTTTCTAATTTATGTTTGGACATCTACAATTAGTATACTTATAAGTATTGTGTTTTGAATTTTAGTTATGATTTATATTAGAAAGTATTTTTCAGAGATTCAATATTATTACTTCTCTGAGTATTTTTTTTTTCAAATTACAAATATAACTATGATTATGTTATTAATTAATGACGTAATCGAATAGCCAAACCAAAAAAAATTCAAACCAAACCAAATTTATTTTGATTTGGATTAGATTACACTTTCTCAAAATTAAAAAATCCAAATCAAAAAACCGAATGCACTATCACGTATGAAATAATGTTAATATACCCTTTTTGCTAACAGATCTGTATTTTTTGAATTGAAAAAACACTTACCTTGTCTTTATAAATAAATTTTAACAAGCCATGTAAATTTAAATTTACCCTGCCTTCTATTTTATTTTACCTTGTCTCTATCCCAAATATTTTTTAGTTCAAAAAGTACAGATCTATTAAAAAAAATACTTAAACAACAAAAGTATACCATTTTGTTAACGAGAAATATAGCCCATCTAAGTTTAGGACAAACACAATATTGCAATTATAAGTTCATGAGCATACCTCAATAGCTCCTACTTCTTTTTGTTTGTTTGTTTTTACATTTTCGTATATGACTAATATTGTAATTTGTGGTTTTACTAGTGATACCTGTTAAGTTTCAAAAGCATGGTGTATAATACTTTCCCCCTTTATTAACTTTCAGGGGGAAAATGTATAAGTGGAGTATGTAAATGGTCGCTTTGCTTGATTTTTTTGGCAAGAGTTTCATTTTTTCTTTGACCTTAAATTAGGATTACTTATATAAGTCTAATTTAATTTTTGATAAGTTGACTTGTAGGTCCCACAAACTTATTTTTAAGTATAAAGTAATAAAGGCATTATTGATTCTACATTTTTCCTAATTGGAATACATAATAATAATAATAATAACAACAAAATTACCTTAATACACAACTTATTTTATTATATTTTCTAAATTTATCTAAAGTAATAAAAGATGTATCGGGATGTACGCGATGTCGTTGAGTGATATATCTAAGATGAGACGCGATGTATCGGAACGTTGAGTGATGTATCTGAAATCGAAACGTTGAATGATGTATCTGAAATTCTTAAATTTTAAGAATTTTTTGGAATTTGAAAAAGAATAAGAATGTGATATAATTAGCTTTTTAATTACACTATGAAATTTGTGTAAAATTATCATAAAAATTAAAATATAAAAAGATGTCTAAATTCAGCGACATCTAAGTCCTAACAAAACAACTCTATTTTAAAATTAAAGTATGAGCAATTTGTATGATCAAAATTTGCTCATACTAGATGTTAACATAAGGCAATAAATACATGATATATATTGACAGTTGTATAGTTCTAAGCAGTGAAGGAGCCATCTTATATTTAGGGATTCATCTGAACCCTCTTCAGCGGAAAATTATATTATTTATACATGATTAAAATAATTTTTTAGTTATATATAGTAGATGTCGATTCCCCTTCGATTACTTTATGTGTCTATTTTCTCAGATTTTGAACCCCTATTAAATTTTTTGGCTTCGCCACTGGTTCAAGGGTGGCAATGTTAAGGATTGTATGATATTACTAACTCTATGCCAGGACCACACAGCTTATGTTTTGAATTGTAGACTTGTAGTTCCGTATTTTTTAATGGGAACCATGTAAGGCAGAGAAAATGATCAAAATGGTCCTTAATGTATAAGGGTTGTTTTATGTTGATCCTTAATATATTCCACATGACCTATATGGTCCTTAATGTATTATAAAAGAGGATCAATTTGATCCTTTGACCTAGAACTAACAGATACATCAAAATAATCAGGTTAACTTTAACGCCTGGTCCCACATGCAAAATTTAAAACGCTCAAAAGTTTTCTCTTTCCCCTTCATTCTCCATTTTTCGGATCTGTTTCAGAAGAGCTTGTGGATATTATTTTTTTGCTCCTCAACCATTAAAGTAAACTTCTCTCTTCTCATTTAACACAAATTTCACTGCAAAATGTCAAGAAAGATGAAGTTTTTCTCTTTTTAGTTCATCTCTAAATCCCCAATTGCTACTCCAATTCAAAGATGCTAAGTGATTTTAATAGAAAGAAATTCTGGAAGTCTTTCATTGTTGTTGTGTAAAAAATTGATTGTTTTTTAAGATACATACAGAAGATCTAATCAAAGCCCTATTAGAAGGTGATGAAATTGATTCACGATCAATGTTTTTGATTTCGAAATTAGTAAAGAAACGGAGTGAAGCTGAAAGTATTTGAAAATGGACAGTAGCATCGTGCGATAACATTAGTTGAAAAAGAAGATTGAGACGGAGTCGATATCTCTAGATTAGAAATGAGCTTGAAAAAGAGAACGAAAAGGTGAAAAAAAATGAAGAGCAAATTGGTTAATGCCAAAAGTAGAGAGAATGTGTGTTGGTATATTATCTTGTATGACTCTACTCTAGATTTGATATCTAATTGCGATTTGATCTTTTGAATCATCGTGCAAGTCAGTTTTCATGGGTTGATCTGTAATCTTTAGTGTATGTAATTGTATAGACAACTTATTTTCTCAAAAATATGATGCTTTAGCTCTTATAATTGAAGTGCAGATTTTACGTTGAAAATTTGGTCCCTTGTCATTGTAGAATCTGGTGCAAATTGAACATATCTGGTGCACATTTTATTGAGAATACCTGGTGCATCAATATTGAGAATTTTAATGTAAATTGAGCATATGTGCTTATAATCAATGGAAAAATTTGGTGCATTGAAACATTTTATTAGCACATCTGGTGCACTTTTAATGAGCACACTCATGTCTAGTGAAGTATTGGCACATCTGGTGCACTTTTAATGAGCACACTCATGTCTAGTGAAGTTCGGAATGGATATGATGTACGTAGATCTTATCCTTACCTTGTGAAGATAGAGAGATAGTTTCTGATAGATTCTAAGCTTTAAAAAAGTAACTTCAAAGTAGATACATCCAAGGTGAAATATCTATGATACTTGATGTTGTTGTAAGGGCAACAGACAATGATAACTAACAGGGAAGTGATGCAATTTTTGAAGATCTGTTTGCTTGCAAAACAGTTTACGTAGCTCTGGTGCTTATCAAGGGTTGGGACCATTTGTTCAACTCCAAGATTCTTATTTCAATTTTTATACGATCACATCTTTCTCATATCGATCAAGGCTTTTTTTGGGTTTGAAATAAGGGGACAAGAAGTAAGAGCATAGATCCTTTAGATTCAACATCGTAACTTATCAAAATCACATTACATGAGTTGATTCAAAAATATGAACAAAAGCAACAAAAGAAATACTAAAGTTAATTTGTAATATCTTCACTTCAACCAGCTACTAGCATGAAACCAACAAAATATCTTCACTTCAACCAGCTAGCCGCAAAAACTCAAAAAATTCTTCATTTCAATCAGCTATCAAATAATCAACAAAAATATGGCCACTTCAAAATAGCTATCCTTCTGAAACATATAGAATCACCATTAACTAAGATATAAACCCAAAAAAAGAGTAGGTGTGACCAAATAAAAAAGATACCAGATTAAATATTCATGTCGGACGACGCGACATTATCATCATGGATAAAATTTGTTCTTCTAACCTGTAGAAGGAAAAAAATCAGATTCTTTTAAGATTTCAAGCTAACTTACTTAGGTATAAAAATATTTACCGGCAACTTTTCAGGTACAAATGAAGTAGAAGGCATCCAACAAGCTGACTCAAAAACTCCTCCTTCTGGCTGTACATAGTTAAACTTGCAAGTTCTCGTATTATGGCCAGACTTGTGACATCGACTACAGTTAACTGATGTTTGCTTCTTCTTCATCTTAGTTCTACTTGATCCTACTTCATCTTGTTCTTTCCTTCTCAACTTTTGCTTTCTCCCAGACTTATTTTGTCTTGAAAAGATTGGAGGCAAATGAGGGATCTTCCCTGATTTAGGCCACAACTGTGAACCATTTATTGGAAGAATAGCTGGTTCATAGATTCGCTTATACATTTCCACATTATAGCAGTCATCCACATAATTAATAACCTCGTCATTTTTATGCCAAATTGCCGAAATAGCATGCTTGCAAGGGATTCCTGTAATGGTCCATTTTCTACAGCTACATTTTCTGCCAGCAAGGTCCACAGCCCAAATGTCGCTCACACTTCCGCCAAGAATTTTAAAGTTCCATTCATTCGACTTTTTAGGAATAAAACCAGCAGCATCTTTTTCATTTTTGTGCAGAATACTCTTGATCCGAGGGCAAATATCATCAGAATTCCATTTATCAGCTTTATCCCTGTTAGCTTGTAATCCTGCCATAAGAAGATATCTTAATTTTTCCAACAAAGTGATGATTGGCTTATCTCGAGCATCAAGTATCATACTATTAAACGATTCACACATATTATTCAACAAAATATCACACTTAGCATTGGGAGAAAAATGTGATTTAGACCATTTAGTAGGTTCCTTTTCTTTCAATCATACAGCAGCTTCGGCATCCAATTTAACAATGTCATTGATGCGAGCATTAAAAAATTCCACAGTTGTAGCACTTGCAGCAGCCCAAAGCGCACATTTTAGTGAGGAACCAATAAAACCAGCCCTCTTGAAATTATTATGAAGATGTCTCACGCAAAATCTATGACTCACGGATGGCAAAACTTCATTAAACGCTTCAATGAGACCTTTTTGTTTGTCCGACATAAAGGTCCAATCAACTTGATCATTAATCTCCAAATCATCAATTAAGTAGGTCAAAAACCATGACCATGTCTCCCTAGTTTCCTTTTCTACAACTGCATAGGCCACTAGAAAAATATTATTATTGGCATCCAAGCCAACTGCAGTCAACAACTGATATCCATACATTTGACCCTTCAACCAACACCCATCCACACCCAATATTTTTCTACATCCAGCCTTAAACCCTTCCTTACAAGCAACAAAACAAACATAGATTCTTTGAAATCTATATGGTTTGTTTGGCATTTCGTTTTGAGTTAGCTTCATATACATTGAAGTTCCAAGATTTGACCTTCCAATTTCAAGGCAGTAGTCCCACATGATGGAAAATTGTTCTTTCACATCTCCATCAATTAATGCAAGTGCCTTCTTTTTAGCCTTTTTAGCTTGAGCTAAAGTAACATGAGCTTTAAGTCCCACACTGACCGTGTCTCTAAAGTTAGACAGCTTCCACTCTCTGTTTTGATTGATAGCATCAAGATACATTCTTGCAATGAAAGAAGAGGTTATTGTCTTGTTGCGCTGGTTCCAACGTTTGCAGGTATGCTTGGAATCATAAGTTTTAATCTGAAATGTCTTGTCTCTATGCATTACCGATGCCATAATTACCCATTTACAATCTGAATTTCTACACTTCGCTTTTGCTCTTTTTCCATCATTTTTGATCCACCTAATACTCTTCCCAGCTTTTACCTCATGAATTGATACCGCATTTTTGAACTCCTCCCAGCTTCCAAATGTATATTCTAATGCTAATATAGGATGTTTTGCTTCAGTTTTTGGGTTATGCTTTGGAAAATGAAAGCACTCATTATCAGAATCACCATTCAAACTCTTCTGATCTTCAGAGTCCACACAATCTGAATCTCCATCTTCATTAGACAATTTCCTCAGAACTTTGTCGTTAATAAGTTTCCTTCCATCCTCAAAGCTTTGCTTTTTTTGTCCATGTCTTTCAAGGATGACATCGTCACCGGATAATTCATTTTCTGAATTTTCAAACTCATCAGAATTGTATGTGTCACCACATTCTATATGCTCTTGATTTAATGTACAATTTGTGTGGCCTAGAATCTCACCTGAATCTACTTCAATGTAGGAGTCCAAATGTTCAAAATACAACTCAACTACTCTATCATTCGGGATAAATTTTTAATTAAGAGAGCTTCTACTTCAGTAGACACTAATCTCCACCTATCACCGAACTTTCCAAATTTATGCCAAAATATTTCCGAGTCATTCATATAGCCGCACATAACAGCCATCTGCTTCAAATCTGCTAAATTAAGGTTTTTTGCTTCAACATAATCAAAATAGTCCACCATTCCTCCAACATAAATTTTGCTTGGTTGATGCTTCATTAGTCCCATATGATTAATTTTAATACTAAAAAATCCAGCCTCGAACACCGGATCTGTAAAAAAAAATTATGAGGACCACCTACATATAATATTTTTGGGACCACTAGTGAATATTTTTTACGAGATTAAAGGCTTAGGTTCTGAGACCCTTATCTAAAACTTTATGCATTTGTAGAAAAAACTCAAAACTAACAAAAGACAATACTTTTACCTAGACAGAGACATAAGAAGTCATAAGAGAAACAGTAAAAAGAGTAGTAAAATACACGCAAAACATAAAATATAAAAACAAAAATCTTACCATAATATAGAGTTGATTCTTTGTTACCATTTCTTTTGATGAACATTCTTGGTAATAAAGAAGAACGTAAGTATTTTTACTGCATATAGAATTCTATAGTGAAACTTCAAAGAGATGAAGATGGAGAAAATTAGGGCACCTTTGGCGCTATGGCTTATGAGGAGATGAGAAAGTTTTCGCGATTTATTTTGAAGTGGGACCCGATGTTAAAGTTAACATGAGTTTTTTGATGTATCTGTTAGTTTTAGGTCAAAGGATCAAATTGATCCTCTTTTATAATACATTAAGGACCATATAGATCATGTGAAATATATTAAGGGTCAACATAAAACAACCCTTATACATCAAGGACCATTTTGATCATTTTCTCATGTAAGGCATCTAATTAATGTACGTTTTAATTTGGTGAGAAAAATTATAGGTGTATATAGAATTTTGAAATGATGGGTGAATTATTACTGCAGTATGTGTCATAGATATTGAGATTTGAACTCATTGATGGTATGTTATACTCCCTCCGTTTCATTTTATATGTCACATTTTTATTTTGCACTTGTATTAAGAAATGATGTAACTTTATCCTTTTACCCTTATTTAATTTTTTTGGAACTCAAGTTTTCAATCAATGAATATGAATAGTCGATGATAACATCACTGTGCCCATCGCTATAACAGAACTGTACGTGAGATTTTCACCTCATACGGCTCCTCAGAGGTCACAAATAAATCTAAGGGCCCTTTCCTATTCTTTATCTTGCTATGTTTGTTAGATAGAGTATCGAAGGAGCAAAGGAGGAGATAGCAATAGCATTAGTAGGAGCAGCAAGAAGTGAACGAAAGTGAGCTTGGAATTGTTACTTTCCAAAAATCTTGCTTCAAATCAAAGAAAGAAGGTCTATTATCCCACGTAGTTCGTCGGTCAAACCAATGATTCTCTTCTCAAAGTAATAGAGAGAGTCCTTTTCTAGTTAGTTTTTCTAAGTTGGTCAAATGTATATTTTCAAGGCTAATAACTCACAAGGGTAAAAAAGGAACAATATGGTAATTTATGCATTGATTTTATGAAATGACAAGTATTATGGACCAACTATTTATAGAAATGGATGACATATAAAATGGGACGAAGGGAGTATTATTTAATACTACTAGTTTTTAATATACATATTTGATTTAATTATATAAAAACACTATAATAAGATTTATGTAAAAAGCGCTACCAATATTATGAAAAACTTTAAAATTTTGAAAGATTTATGGAAAAAAAAAGTATTAATTAAAATGTCAACAATGCTACCAATAACCACTTAGAGAAGTTTTACCCACTTGTAGAAAGAAAAAAACAAAATAGATATAAAATTTAAATTTCTAGCCTCATTTACAGATGTGCACCCAACCATCACCTTATCTGATACTTTAAGTGTGGGCTCACAGATTTATATTTAAGTATTTTTTTTAAAGAAATGTTATACTACAATATATCATATCGGAAGGAGAGCATTGTTTTGCGTGCACTCGAATAACCCGGCTTGGATACGACCCTGAAGAAATGATCACAATGGTCCTTAATGTATGAGTAATGCTTTTTCTTTTAATATATTTCATTCGATTGGATGGTCTTTAATTTATAACAAAAATATTCATTTTGGTCCTTAATATATTTCATTTGATCGAAATGGTCTTTAATATATGACAAAAATATTTATTTTGATCCCAATATATTTCACTTGATTAAAATAATCTTTAATATATAATAAAACGTGTTCTTTTTTATCTTTTTAACTTAAATCTAATAAATTTATAAAAGCAATTAGTGTATGTATTCATTTTGGTCCTTTTAACTTAAATCTAATAAATTTATAAAAGCAGGTGTTAAATTTAAATGTAAGTCCACCTGGTTAAGAAACTTCACTATTGTTGTCTTCTATTCTCTCTTGAGGGGAAAAAAACTTGGGGAAAAAATATGAATGGCCGCTTTTCGTGACTTTTTCTGGGCAACAGTTTATTTTTATCTTTGACCTCAAATACAAGATATCAACCATGCACGTCGGAAAAAAATAATGTACTATTCCAACTATTTTAATTAATTTATTTTCTTTTCTTTTTAATGCATTTAAAAAAAAGGTCACAAATTTAATTTCAACTTACACATTTAAGACGATAAAATTAATAAATATTTTAATACATTTAAAATATAATTTAAGATCACAAAATAAACAATATCACATATAGTAGGATGAAAAGAATAGCTATTAGGTGATTTCTAATTCCTGTTATTCAAGTCTTGTCAAATAAAGTTATTCGATATATCTGCTAGTGTCAATAAATTAGTCGAAGTGGTCACTACAGTATTGACAAGAAACCATGCTTGTTCATTTTCCTCGTAAAATTGAAAAGAGTTCCACCCCTCCAGAATAAGCCTGGGCCAGTCCGTCCGGTTTTGGCCCATTAAGGCCGGCCCGAAAATCCTGGAATTGACACCCGACCCACATATTTAGTGTGTATATTTAGTATATATTAGTAATATGTATATAATATAATGAAAATATTTTATTATATTAAGTAGTATATTTAGTATATATTATAAGTATATATAGAATATAATGTAAGTATTTTATTATAGGGAAAAGGGTCAAAAATACCCCTCAACTTTGTTTTATTGTTTGACTATACCCTTACCGTTAAAACGAAGTTATTTTTACCCCTGCCATCTACAAACTCATCACATTTACCCCTCAATTGGATGGAAACCCCCAAATCAACAAAAATAACCCGATTTACTTAAATTAACCAATTTTAACCCGATTCCGATCCATCTAATAGATGACCCGCTTTGTTCATCTTCATCTTGAGATCAAGGCAAAAAACAATGGAGGAAAATACATTTTCAAAGACATGAATAACATTTTCATAACCTAATGGGATTAAGTAAATACAAGTAAGTAAGCCTAAAACCTCAACTTCCCCAACCTTCCTACTTCCCAGACGATTAAACCCATCGTCGCCGTAATCACTGTTCCGGCACCATTACAAAGCCCAAGCAATTCAGTCAGAAGCTTTTATGTCATAATCATGAGATGTTTCAATCGATTTATTTCTAATTCTCTGTATCACCGTTCCAGAACTATTTCCACATATCTAACACCTTATGTGCATTCACAATTCCACAGTCCAAGATTCAAAAAAATTCTGAAACCCATTTCTACAGCTTTACTAAACCGTTAATTAGTTCAAATTTCACAACATCAGCTCACGAATCAAAGTTGGCTCCATCAGGGAGAGTATCAGCGATAGTTAATGAGATTTCGAATTTAACTTTGCTGGAAGTATCAGATTTAGGGCAGGTTCTAAGGAAGAGAATGGGGTATTGAAAAGATGCCTGTAATGGCATAATGATGCCCGAGACGTGAGCTGCGAAAAAGACGGAAAAGAAGGCAAAGAAGAATGTTTGATTTGAAGCTCAAGGAAGTGATGAAGATGAACAGTAGGAAATAGGGAGACAGATAAATTAGGTTAAAAATGAAGATGAACATAGGTGGGTTGTATCATTTGATGGGTCGAGTGAGGTTAAAATTGGTTAATTTAAGTAAATCGGGTTATTTTTGTTGATTTGGGGGTTTCCATCCAATTGAGGGGTAAATGTGATGAGTTTGTAGACGGCAGGGGTAAAAATAACTTCGTTTTAACGGTAAGGGTATAGTCAAACAATAAAACAAAGTTGAGGGGTATTTTTGACCCTTTTCCCTTTATTATATATAAATAAAATGTAATCAATCTATGTCATACATAGTTAAATTATAACAAAATTAAATAGATAACAATACAATATATTGATAATTGACTCAAACTTTCGAATTAATAAATGATAATAAAAGGAATTTGTCTGAGTCCGGCCCGTTAGCCCGGTGGGCCAAAACCCGACCCGAATATTTTAGCCCCATAAAATTGCTTATTGGGTCACGGACAAGTTTTTCAGTGGATTTATTGTTGTTAGACCTATACCAGCCTGGCCCATTAGTGGAGAACCCGATCCAGCCCAATCCAGTATATCAAGATTTTTTTTTTATGGGTCGGGCTGGCTCTGCCTGACCCAGTTTATGGGTCGGGCTGGCTCTGCCTGACCCAGTTTATGGGTCGGGCTGGCTCTGCCTGACCCAGTTTATGGGTCGGGCTGGCTCTGCCTGACCCAGTTTATGGGTCGGGCTGGCTCTGCCTGACCCAGTTTATGGGTCGGGCTGGCTCTGCCTGACCCAGTTTATGGGTCGGGCTGGCTCTGCCTGACCCAGTTTATGGGTCGGGCTGGCTCTGCCTGACCCAGTTTATGGGTCGGGCTGGCTCTGCCTGACCCAGTTAACAGGTTTACCCCTCCTTCACTGAAAATACGATTCTTGTTGAAATTATTTTGTTAAAGAGACATAGACCACAGTAAAGTTTCACCTGGAGAGAGTAGAAAACAGAGCAAATACACAAGAAGGGAAACAAGATTTGTACCTTATCAAAAAAGGAAACATATTTATAAAAAAACAATATTGTCACTCGATAACAGGCATGAACATACATGCAACTTAATATTAATACAACAACAATTGAAATTGAGAAAAAATCATGCTACTTATTAAGTAAAACACATACATACATACATAAAAATCAAAATTAAATAGGAAGACTAAACCTCTGTTCAAAACCCATATTACAAAAATAAGACATTGGCCTTAGGCCCCCAATTTTAAAACACATATTACAAAAATAAGACATTGGCCTTAGGCCCCCAATTTTAGGGGGCCTCAATTTTTTACCAAGAATAAATTATGTGTTAATTTTTTAAAGAAAAATATTAATTATTTATGATAAAAAGTATATATTTAAAATTATTATTTTATTCTCTTCAACCCAATTCAAATAGAAAAAATCAAGAAAATATTATTTTATTTTCTTACACTCTCTCTACTTATACTCACATTATTTTCTTTTTTAACTCCTTTTACACTCTCTTCTTTTAATTGTTGATAAGTTAGAGTAATATTCTGTCAAAATTATCAATTAATAGTCAAAAAGTGTTGATTAATAGTCGAAAAGTGTTGAACAAATTGAATTGTAAATTCTTTTTCCATTTCTTCTTAGATTTTCAAGCATTACAACAACCATAGTAAAATGTGGGGTAACCAAATTATCAACTTCATCAAAGCTATTGTTCTAACTCTTATATTTATTTGAAATTTTGTCAACTTATTACTGTAGAACTATGTTAACAATTCATATAATGATTGCCCGAGTAAAATAATATTTTTTAACGTTGAATTAATAAAATCTTATTTAAAACTAATAATTGAAAAAGAAATCGAATAAATCATTTATATATATAAAAAAAATAGTAGGTAATACTTTGCATTTAAAAATGTAAGAATTTTTTTTTTAAATAAATGCATGTGAAGTTTATTTAAATTTTAGGCCTCTAATTAAGATTTCGCTTTAGGCCTCCAATTACGTTGAGCCGCCCCTGCATCCTCCTCCTTAGATAGTTCCAAACAGTAATTTCACTCTGAAAATACGACTCTTCTTCGTCTTCGAATTTTTGCATAATTTTCTTGAAAACCCAAAAGAACATTTCGCCTCCGGAAATCAGAAAACAGAGGGAAAACACAACATGGGAAACAGGGTAGGTGAACAGAACAGAAGCAGTGGAAGCCAAAGAGAGAGAAGTAAAGAAAATCATAACATTGTGTACGAGGTTGGAGAAATTTCTGTAAATAAGATGAGAAGAGAATCTGTGCTTAATAGCGTATATTAAAGAGTATAGGAGGAAAGAAGTGACAGAAATTCTCATTGTTTTGGGATGGGTGGTAAAAGGATCAGTACCTTGATATTTTAGCAGAATAAAGTTGAGGAAAATGGTAAAGAAGAATCCAAGAATTGTGAGGGGACTACTCTGTTCCTGCATGAAAATGAAATTGAAAAAGGTTCTCCATGGCTGGAGGACAATTCTTGCATTATAGGCCATTATTAATTATTTGAAGAAGAAGAAGCTAAAGGCAAATAAAAAAGGGTTGATCGATGATGAAGGAGGAGAAAGGGTGTGTTTTATATAGAGGAAAGTTATTCGAAGGTAGACACCAAACTATATTATAATGTAGGCAATATAAGTTTGACAAAGTTTTAACGCCAGATTTAATTTCTAGTTTCGATTGTGACATTATGAACTTTCACTTCATTTTTTAATTGGTATGTCTGATAAGTTTGACACATTTTAAAAAAGTGGAAAAACACAAAGGGAAAATACCATTGGTAATGGTTTGTATATGAAAAACTACTATTACTATTTGTAATTAGAGGCGACTTCGAAAAATTAAGCTCGGATAAAAATTGTATAAAATTTATATATAATGGTATAAATTTTGTACAACAAACTAGGAATAAAATTCAGTCCAAAACTATAAATATGGGTGTTTTTATAAAATATAAGTTTGGATGATCTTTAAATTTTTTAATATCACAAATTTTAGTTTTTTTTCGCGAACTTGGGATGTTTATCTAATATATTTGCCAAATAATAATAAATTATATGACTAAACTTTAATTTTCAATTTTTTTTTCCAAATATATTTATGGTCGAACAAGCATGTTGCACTTTTTGTTTGGTTGTATATATGCAACTAGTAATCACCATGAAGGTTCCTTAAAAGAAAATTTGACTTTTCATTTTCAGGATATCCAAATGAAAAATATGGCGTTCCTCAATTCTTCATTCTTAATAAGAGGGAGTTTTTTCCGTCCGCCGAAGGAAACTTACATAATATATTATATTAAGAAAATATTTACCATTTATAGCAATAAAATTTTCTTTTTTATTTGATCACTTTTAATATATTTATAATACAATTTTAATATATATTACTGAGAACAATTTATAAAACACATATAATACAAGTTTTATTAATAGATAATACATTTATCACACATTTTAATATAATCTGTCAATTTCTTACCAAACAAGCATAATATATTTTAAAATAGTTATAATACATATATATTACATACATAATTTGCTTTTAATACATATTGCAGATTTATTATAGTATTGCTATGTATTACTGTAAATGGTAATAAATAAAAAATATCGCCAAAATCAATAATTATTTATTAAAAGTTATTCATTCAAGTAATTTTTCCTTTTTCCCTCCCTTTACTTTTGCCTTAACTTGCCCATCCAATATAGTTCTATCATGTTGCTTTAGTAAGATATATTCTTCAACTTTTTTTCACGTTCTTTCCAAAAATCAATTAATTTCCATTACAAACCTAATTTCTTTCAAATTAAAAACTCCATTATTTTCATATTATATAATAACTCTTCCTAGATTTCTCTATATATTCAACTTCTTAACAAAATTAAAGTGCATAACAATATATATATATAAAACATGAAATCTGCCGCAAGAAATTTCTACAGCTAAATTATATTATTATTCTTGTTTCTCACTAAGGCTAAAAGAGAGTAAGAGATTTCTTCGATACTCTTAGTTCTTCATAATATTATATAGGCGTTGGTTAATACGGGATGAAAATCTATATACTTCCTCCATCCTATTTTATATGAGGTAGTTTGACTCGGCACGGAGTTTAAGAAAGAAAGGAAGACTTTTAAAACATGTAGTCTAAAATGAATTATATAAATTTGTGTGGCTGTAAATCATTTCATTAAGAGTAAAATAGACATTTTATAGTTAAATTGATTTTTTTGGTAAGTAAATTTTTATTTACCAAGTAAGAATTACATCCCGCAAAAAAAAAAGTGTAGTATGGACAACTCCCAAACTTACACTAGCAACAAACTAGTCAAACCAAATCTCCTATCATTATGAATAGAAATTTAAAAGCATAAGCCTATTTGCTAGCTTACTACAATGTTGAGCTCTACTATGAATATCCTGAATGATCTGCCTAACTACTTGATCTGTTGTTCTTTGCCGAGTGCCAAACACTCTAGCATTTCTTTCCTTCTATATGTGATACACCCCACCTGCTAATGCCATCCGATACACCTCCTGCTGGGCAATTTTCCCCTTAGCATTTGCCACAACCCATTCCACTTCACTCTTCCAATCTAGAACTTACCTGGCAATTCTCAACCATTGCAGTGGTTTACCCATATTTTTGTTGCATAATTGCACTGAAACAACAGATGGTCAATGTCTTCGTTCTCCTCTTGACATAGAGGGCAAAGCATATCTTCCAAATTCACCCAACAAGCTAATCTGTCCTTTGTTTGGAGCCTTTTATGGAGTGCAAGAAACAGATTAAATACCCATTTTGGCACTTCTTTGTTATTGCAGACTAGTCTTCTCCATGGAATCTTTGGCCATTCTTCTCTAAGCAATCCATAAATCTTTCTAATAGAGTAGCTAGGCAACTGTGTGACTTCGTTTTCAGTCATCCCTGCTATATCAAAAGTCTTCTTAGCACTCAGAATCTGTTGTACCATCCAGGAAGCTTGTTGCGCCTGCGCCTCCCATACTGCGCCATCCTTTATATAATAGAGATGCACCCATTTAACCCACAATGCATCCTTCTTCCTGCAAATATTCCACAATAGTTTACCGATTGCAGCATGGTTCCACTGGTATATATCAAGAATATTCAGCCCACCAGCAACTCTAGGCAGACATAGTCTCTCCCAAGCAATAAGAGATCTCTTCGATATTTCACATCCACCAGTCCACAAGAATGTTCTACATGTAGCATCAATCACCTGGATCACTTTCTTTGGCAAGACAAATACTTGAGACCAAAATACTTGAATTGAGAATAATATAGACTTCACAAATTCGCTAGAGCATTTTATCAATCAATGGTAAAAACTGCATAATTGTGACTTTTTTAGTACTTGGGGGAATACCCAAGTACTTGAAGGGCAGGGACCCTTTTGTGAACCGTAAAGCTGCCAGAATAGCTTGTTGAACCTCTTGTTTAACCCCTCCAAAATATATAGACTCTTGTCAATATTAGCATCCAGCCCAGAAGCCCTTGAAAATAACTGAAATGCTTGATAAAGTAGCTGAGCAGATTTCAAATTACCTTTACAAAATAATAAAAGATCATCAGCAAAGCTAAGTTGAGTAAGCTTCAATTGTTTACACCTCGGATGAAACATGAAATGTTTGTGCCCCTGTAAACCCTTCAAAATCCTTGTGAGATACTCCATAACAAGCACAAACAAGTAGGAAGACAAAGGATCTCCTTGTCTTAATCCTTTCTTTGCTGGGAATGGAGCTAGAGGGGAGTCATTCACAATGACCGAGTATGAAGCAATTTTCACACAAGTCATGATCTATTGAACAAACATAGTTGGGAATTGCAAACAGTTTAGTATTTGCTCGAGATAGGGCCACTCCACAGAATCATACGCCTTTCTCATATCAATCTTCAACATACACCTAGCAAAAATACCTTTCCTACTGTACCTCTTCACAAGCTTATGACTTAAAATGATGTTATCAGAATAGCTTGTTGAAACTTTTGTGAACCGTAAAGCTGCCAGAATAGCTTGTTGTTGCACTCTATTAAGGCAATTGACACTCTTCATAATTGGAATATCCACAACAGGTATTTGCACAACAGCTGATCCCAATAATCCAACATAGAACTCCTTAATTTCCTTCTCAATATCCACAGTCTTCTAGACTATATTCCCTTGTGTAGTAGTAAGATGCTTTATTCTATTTTGTGCTTATCTACTCCTGAGATTAGCATAGAAATAAGCCGTATTTCCATCTCCCAGTTGCAACCATTTAGTTCTAGATTTCTGTTTAACTATGCTCTCCTTCACCCCACTCCATCTTTCTAATTCCTTTTTCAAATCTATTTCAATAGTAAATAGTTCACTAGCATGTCCTTGATCTCGCATCAAGCTTTGAGTGATTTCCAACCTCTGTCGACACTCTTGAATTTTAGCTCCCACACTAATGAATTCCTGAGTATTCAGCTCTTTCAATTTCATTATAGTAACCTTCAGCTTTTGCCACACTGGCTCCATATACTTCCTTCTCGACCGCGTGACCCATGCTTGTTGTACTAGGGGCATGAAGTCCTAATGAACACTTAGACAATTCAAAAATCTGAATGGTTTAGGCCTCTGTACTTCTTCTTCTGTAAATTGAACACTGAGAGGTGTATGATAGGAGCACCCCGGGTCCATAACCATAACTTCATTCTGCTCTAGTCTGAGTGTCCAAGCTGCATTCACCAATGCTCGATCAATCTTACTATACACATAGCCGTTGGTCCAGGTGAACCATCTCCCTATACCCCTTAATTCAATCATGCCAGCAGTAATGATGTATTTATTAAAATCATGAACCTCATTCTCATGGACAGGGTTCCCTGAAGCTCTATCTTCCAAACATGTCATTGCATTAAAGCCACCAAACACTAACCAAAGATCTACTATTGTTTCAAACATTAATAGTTCTTCCCATAAGCCTCTTCTATCATCAATTATATGCAGCCCATAAACAGCTGTCAGCAAGAAACATTGTTTCAAACTAGTAATGGTGACAGCCCCATGAATTATCTGAGAACTCATCCCCACCAGATCAAATTCAACTTTGTTAGGGTCCCATAATACCCATATTCTACCTTTGTCGCTGTGTGCATAATTTGCACACCAACTCCAACCAGGAGCTATTTTATTTATAATGCTACCAGTATGTTGCTGCTTCACTTTATTTTCTAAAATAGCTATAAGTCCTACTTCATTACTCTGTACAAATTTCTTTACTTCCTTCTGTTTATACACTTTATTTATTCCTCTAACATTCCAAGCAACAACCTTCATTAAATAGATTGAGTATGACCACTTGCTCCTGGATCCACCCTTATCCCACCAAGACACTGCTCAGCACTTGCAGAAGTTGGCATCTCACTAAGAGGACTAAAACCATTTCCCACCATCAGCCCTTGAGGACCCTTAGGACTTACTTGACCACTTCTAGCACTAGCTTTAACCTTAATAGACTCCCAATTATCTTGTTTCTCAGTTTCACTATTCAGAGCTTTCGAGGTAGTTTGAACTACCTTTATAGGCTTCCTCCATACCTGCACAGCTGGCTTTGTTAAATTGCTACTTAATATAGAAATGTATCATTCTTTTTGGGACTGACAAAAAAGATAGGTAAGTCACATAAGTTGGGACAGAGGGAGTAATTATTAAAGAATATGTGCTCTAATTTTTGGATGACAAAGGTACCAATGTCCCAAAAGTATGACGGAATGTATCTACATACCATTTACGATACTTCGGCGATATATTTGTCATTTTCCCATATATATATATATATATTTATTTTTTTTATTTATTTTTTTTAGACGCTGGGGTACCAATGTCCCAAAAGTATGACAGAAAGTATCTACATACCATTTACGATACTTCG